CCCACGCAAGTTTCTTGTTGTGGCCAAGGCGCAAAGTTCATGGAAATGCGGGGCGCAGTCCCGATTTCTCACAACCCGGTAGGTCTGCATGAGATCTCCTCAGATCTGCCTGTACTCAAGAGGAAATAGGTTAAGCTCATCAAGTAAACAGCCGTAAGATAATGTCTTGAGGTCTTTCGCATTGTTGATCACCCTCCTCTGAACTCTTTCCAGGAGTTTATGGCCTTTTTCAGCCAGGGGCGCCATGCTTAGATTCCATGTTCAAGTTGCGAACGAATAAAAATCCGCATACTGTTCCAAACAGTTATTCGTCTTAGATTTGCGAAAATTACCATAGCAGTAATCGAAGGCTAGGTGCGAGCATACGTAGCTTTCGATAAATTCTCGTCGGGCCGGTACAATGGGAAGGGAGTAGAAGTAAAACATTTCAGCGTTATAAGAAGTCGATAAAATTTCGCATTAAAACACAGGCGGGGAATGAGAATGTGGGGAAGGGGGGTGGTAATAGCAGTCAGTGTCAGGGCGGGATGAGAGCGGAAGGGCGCGGAGAGTTGTAGCATCGGCCGACCTTCGACGACTGTAGGCGCGGAGCCTGAACGTTGTTCTTCTGTGGGCATAATATTGGCTTTCGTAACCTAATGGCGGCCGCTTCTGGTGTCGCTAACAGGCGCTGACCTAGTAGCTTAGGGTAGCTCGATGGGACCTTATTTGTCTATATCTATGAAACTTCTTTTAATAACGACGAGAACACCGTTTGTCATTTTTGTCGCCCTAAGGCACTGAAGGGAGGGATTCAGAGATAACAGACTGTTCCGCTGAAGGTCTATTTATTCGGCTACATTCGAGAGGCACCTTCCGTCAAGGAAGTATTAGTGATCCCCTCCACTTGGTCCCTGTTTCTTCGCTTTGAGTCGCAGTGGGGCACATTTCTCAAGGTTAAACTTTAGCAGTCATTAGTCGGACCATTCACATCGACTGTCCACACCTTCTTGCGGGATCCGTTAATCATTTTTCCCATTGATCGCTTGCCATCTTTTGATGTCATCAGAAAGCATGATTCCACTGCAGTCCAGTCCATTCAAACAGACATTGGCATAAATAAGAGCTGTACTGGTTTGTGCACAGAGCCCTAACCTACCCCACTCAAAACTGGCCCTGGCACTGATTTCGTAATGCTAATGTGCACAGACTGCAATCGGCCGGTTAAGAAGTCCTGTACCCTTCTCCCTCCCAGACTGTCGGTCCCTGCAAATTAATCGACGGCGCGGATCACCATCAAAGGCTTTCTTGAAGTCAACGCAGGCGACATTGATTCTTGCATCTTTGTCGAACGAGCGGGACCACTGTTCAATTGAATAGAGTATATTGGTTAAACAAGAGTGATTTCATCGAAAAGCATGTTAAGCACTATCAAAGAAACCGTTTTCATCAAGGGACTTCACATAGCTTTTTGACTATTCTTTCCATAATTTTGCAACAAATACACGGCAGGCCAACCGGCCGATATTTATTCGCGCTTGCTCGGGATCCATCTTTGTGAATGGTATAGATATTCAACAGCTTGCGATCAGAGGGGAGAATGCCTCTTTCAAAGGTCGATTTAGAAATATGTAAAAGCGGTTTGGCGAGTTGGCGAGTTGGCAAGCCAGTTAATTCAGAACTTTTGCCGGTATTTGGTCCGGACCTGGAGACTTACACTGCTTAAGCGCTAGAATTTCCCTCCTCTCATCTCCTTCTCTGAAGACGATTCTCTAATTTATTGCGTCGTCAGCTCCAGTAGACAATTCAGACCGTCAGGGTCCGTTCCATCGGGGAAAACAAATGCGAAAATACGGCTTAGGTGTTCTGCCTCAGCGTCAATTTCCGTAATGTGCTCATTGTTTTCTCCTTCTTACAGTGAGACCATCTCCCCATTCTAATCCCTGCTGTTGATGCAGCTAAGGAGTACTTTTGGCTTATCAGTGGTCCGTTCCATAATTCGCGTTTTATGCTCCTCAGTTCAGTTCAGTTCAGTTTATTAGGGGAAATAGGCGTAAGCCTTTGAGTACCCTATTTGCAACGTAAAAAATGTGTGGTGTACAGGTAGATGTTCTGGGCTGAAATAGTTCGAACACGCCCATAATGGTGGGACAAAATGAGAAGGAGTTACAGGGGGTGAGCTCGACTTCTCATCGCTCTTGGTCATTTCCGAACATAAATATGTCCAGATTCTTCTTAAAACTTTGTATAGATGGTGACATCACAACATCTGCGGGAAGCTCATTCCACGGTTTGACCACCCGAACCGAGAAGGAGAACTTCGCACATCCAGCCGTGCCTGATGAGTGCGCAGTTTTAACGGGTGACCTCGGAGGTTGGTCGTGGTAGCAAATTCAAAAAAGTCCTCGAAGGCCAGATTGCAATCCAACCCCTTTACAATGCGGAAGGCTTGCAAGAGATCTCCGCGAAGTTGCCTGTAACTCAAAGGAAAGAGGTTCAGATTTACTAGGCGGGTTGCATAAGGAAAGGAGCTTTGACCCCTAACCATCTTCGTGGCTCTCCTCTGGACTCTTTCGAGGCAGTTTTGATCCACAACAGCCCACGGCCTCCAAGCTTGTATGCCGTCCTCTAAATGCCGCCGGACGAATGTTCCGAATGTCTTAGAGAAAGCTTCTTCGTCAAAGTCCATAAACGCACGCTTGATGGCGTACAGTACGGACATTGCGCTTTTTGCCACCCTCGAACAGTGGGCGGATGGTTTTAGGGAACTCGTCGTAAGCACACGGAGGTATCTTTGGGCTTCGACCTCTTGTAGGGCTGCACCGCCCAGAAAGTAGTCTCTTGTGCTGGCGGATCTGGCTGTGTTGCGTAGGCGAAGTATGCTACATTTGGCAACGTTGAACCGCAGGAGCCAACGGTTTGACCACTCTTCCAACCGATACAGGTTCATCTGCAGTTTGTCTTCATCGGCAGGACCCCGAATTACACTCCATATCTTCATGTCATCCGCAAACATTGCTACTTCACAGTCTAAATCTCTTGCGGCATCGTCCACGTAGATAAGGAACAAAATGGGTCCCAGAACTGAACCCTGGGGGACATCACTATCGACCATAGCCGGATCTGATTTTCCCGGACCGACGCACACAACCTGGTGTCAACCCACAAGGAAGTTTTCGATACATTTAAGGATGTTGCCATCGATCCCTATTTTTTTCAGCTTATGTAAGAGCTTTTGGTGTGGCACAGTGTCGAAAGCCTCCCCTTAACTGAGGCGGCAAAGACTACTTACTGGCACCATAACATCTTAAATCGTATCTGTGGAAAATTGGGTCGCACAGGGTTCATCCGTAGGGCTCAATCTCGACGTCATCTGTATAAGCAGTTGCAACGCGAATCTTGACTGTAATGTCGTAATGTTTGCAGATGATCTGGAAATCAAGAAGACGATTATCTTTGCTGACGATGCACGGAAACTGCGATTAAATTTCCATAAATTTATTTACTGGACCATTAATTGACTCCTAACTGCTAATATATCCAGATGTGTGGTCCTACGCTTGGAAGTGAGTCGGACCATTGTAAGGCCTGGCATCTATTACTCCTTTTTTGTTACATTCTCTTACTATTCAAAAGTGTTTTATTTCGTCGTTTGAGGTATGACGCATTTGCCGACACTTCTGACCCTCGTTTATAAAAAAATTCCTACATCCTTACAAATTACTTACATCATTGAGGACATCGACGCGCATTGTTCGCCCAGCATCGGCATCTTATTAATTTGCCAGTAAGTGGGGCTTTTTCAGTTTCTGTAAGACCTACGGGACTATCGCAACGAATTAAATGTAGAGGTGGTTTTGCTCGATGAAGTTTGAAATTCACAAATCTGAGCAAGTTAGTAAAATGCTGCACCATCTCTCAATACTCAATTACGGCCCACTTGCGATCGAAATATCCTAGGCGAATACTGTGCGGAAGATAACTATTATTCCAAGCTAAATTGCACTTTATTGACATACGGCTATGAAAGGGTTAGACTGTCAGTAACATGATTTGGTGATTACGACACTTAAGTCAACAAGGCTTCGAAAATTATGCAGGAATATAAGGCGCAAAAGTATCTGAATTGCTTGAGCCTCATTAATAACATGAAACAAATGGCAAAAAAAGTGCCAAGATGAGATGACAATTACGGATGCAATATCAGGAAAACGCAACCATCAGCATGGCAGGAACGCAGATTCTCAGATTTCACCGCTTTTAACAGGAGGCCCAGAAGACGATTGGCAGGCAAATCTCGCGGGATTGACAAGCGCTTTAATAGAATGAAAAATCCGTATCCAAATACATTTTCCAGCATCCGGGCGCATTAACAATCGAAAACTCACTTAAAATGATTCAAAAGGTCTATGAATAGGTACGCTTTACGAATGACATCCGGACGACAAATTATAAACCTTCTTGTGGGCCTGACAGGCGGGCCATTTTCAGCACGCACGTACATCACATATAACAATCTTGACAAGATTTGCGGGAACCTCGAAGGTTGAATAAATATGAGCGCTCGAATAAGATAGCGTTCTCTGAGTGATTAACGCGTCCACTCGTGGTCTTGTACATGCTCTCACATTCTACGTAAGGCAATGACCTAATGGTTTACGCGATATGCAGGAAAATATTTCTAGCTTTTATCCTCCGCCGCGGGTTCTGATCGTACTGAAGCTTTACCAAATGATTTCTTATCCAACTTTTGTCCGTAGTTTCGTGTTGTTAGCCACTAGCTTCGTCTGTCACTGCGGCTATCCCGCTTGCACTGTCTCTGAGCAACGAATTTTAAATATTGACAGAGGTTGCTTGGGAAGGAGAAAGTGTATTCGGTACCCTTTGCAATGTGAGATCTAGGAGCACATTTTAAACCTATATCATGTTTACGTATTTAGGCTTGAAATGAGTGTTTTAATGTGTGATGTTCTGCGGCATATTTTGAAATCACGTGGTCGTGCCCTCCTCTTGTTGTCGCTATGTCCCCGCCCAGCGCTAAGCGCCAAAAAATTGGATCAGAAGATGGTCGCCCATGTGAGGGCGATCAACTTTCTGAATGCGAAGTTGGAATTTCGTCATATGTGTCAGTAGAACAGCGTGGGTTTTCGGGGTCATTAAAGGGAAGGTTAGATATTTCTACTTTCGTACTCACGCTAATTAGGTGGGAAGACTTCGTTGTACATGAAATCGAAATCCCTCATCAGATTTGCAAGCTCACATCGATCATTCCGATCGATTGCCAGAATGGAGTATCCGTAGGGCAAACTGTAGATTTTTCTGACCTAGTCCATAGAACGCGCATGAGCCCCCCGAAGATATGATTTTGCCTATTGAGATTGATGAGGTCCTCAAAGAAATAGACCGGGAAACAATGTTTGAGGCCTCTTTTCCGGTAAAAACCAAGTCCACCAACATTTTTAGGCTTCTGACGACAAAGGGGAACGCGAACGCTTTCATAAAGCCATACGACATAATTATCCGTCTTTAGTCAGTCGTACTGCCGATGTGGATAATAATCGTTTTGTTATCGTAACAAAGGCCAGTAGTGCTAAGGGTTTGTTAAAAGTCTTCTAACCCTCTTAGGACAAAAAGTGTGGGAGCGAGTTTCGAAGGTTTACGACCCGCCAAAGGAAACACCATATTGCCACTTTACGCTGTATAAAGAAGGGAAAGATACCATAAATGCCCTACACATCATTGGACGGATGCTGAAGTTTAACTAATGCCGTTTTCTAACTCTCAGAATTAACTCCAATACTTTTAGTTACGCGGGAACGAAGGACAAAAGGGCAATAACAACCCAGAGAGTCTCCGTTAAAAAGTAAGCTTTTTCTCTATGCGTTTACTTTCTTCTAAATTGAAATCTTTCAGCTTGCGCATATATAGGGGTCCCTGAGAACTTTATTGCCCGATTTCATTTTCACTTTTTAAGCCAGCCTGAAATTGCTTGCAAGGTCAGGGTATCCCGCCGTCTAACTAGTGCCACTCAGGGGTGCAACGTTGCTTTCAACACAGCTCGTCTTGTCAGTTTACGTTGCCGTAGTATGGGAGGATTCGATTGACTCCGTTCGAGTTCTAGTTTTATCTCGTTCTCTGCACTCTTGTGCATAGTGCTTTTACCGCGCTAGCTCGTGAATGTTACCGAATTGCATTGAGTTTGCCGTTTCCCGCCTGCAACGGAGTGCTTATTTACGTCTCAGTTCGATGAAGGTCTTGATATCACAACTTCCATCCACTTTATTTATACGCCCAAGCCTAGCTTAATTATGACCGGCACATGTTACGTTAATTCGGCCGTCGCAAACGACGATGTTCACCGCGTGGTATGGTGGTGGTGACTTGCGCATAAGTTGGTATATAGTCAAAGTAAACTTACGCCGCATCTGCCGCTTTCTATTGTCCCCGGTGGCAAGGCAGAGTAAGAAAGACCAGAGGCGGGAACGGGTACAGTGGCTGACAAATCCCGCTTACGTGCCCCGCACACGCCCGGCTCCTACACGATTAACCAGGTTTTAGCAGAAATCTGAAGTTGTCTTTCCGGATCTCATCGGAGTGAGAGTGCTATATGCACCACATTGAGAAGAAGCCATTGTATTCTGACTCTCCGCCCTGAGAAGGTCGAGTTATCCCCTCAGTTGGTAGCTTTCAAGGCCACCACTTTTAGCGCAGCGTGATAGTTCCCAAGCCCGTCAAAGTGTTCAGTAAAAAATGTTATGAAATGTCATGGGGCTCTTGGCGTGATATTTGTTGTGAGAGGCGCTGGCTTCACAGCACTATTAGCTCGTGCCGTGCTCTTATCTGGCTTCCGTCTTTTTTCAGCGCATCCACCCATAGGAGCCCTAACTGATACATATTCACTGTTATGGTCACCACTCTCGAATTTGTTTGGTGCCCTCCATACTACAATGTACCTTTTTCGTTTTAGCATATCATCCAAGAGACTTGCATCCCTAAACCCTCGCCTTAATGGCATTAAGGTTGGAAACTTTGCGTACCTCCCTTACTCTATCGCTCTTGGCGATCTGTATGGAAATCGCTTTTCGGTCGCTATAAGGTGAGTTATTTAAACCATTTAACGAAACATACAGTCGAGATTACCTTCGTCTCACTTTACGGTTTCCTCTAACTTGTTTGATACGCACCCATCCTGCTTGCTGTAGACTGGGCAGGTAACTTGACCCAACTGTGATTAAACTCGCGTCTTCGGGTGGGGCCTCGTAGATCAGGTAGCTGGAGCGTTGGCTGTACTAAAGCCTTCCCCTTGTTGCCGTTATTTCGAATCTCACCAAGGCGCCGAAATTTTCACAGTTGGGCAAATAGGAGTTATTCAAAATATTGAAAACATCTATGAATTATTAATATAGTCGTCTTTTGCTTACTGCCCGAATATTCATCCGCAGACTTGACTTGCGCGACCTCGCTACCCGGCAACCGGCCTTCACATTTCCCCTTGTTAGCATTCTGGGAATGACTGTACCGCTATTATTGTCGAAGACAACCGTGCGCACTGATTTTCAGTTTTTGCTGTAGACCTTGCTTCAACCCTTCCTCAACCCATTCCTAGGGACCTCCGATCGTGAACTAGGCGGGACTTTTTCTTTGACTCTATAATCCCCTCCTTTTTGAGGGATGCTTGAACTATCTTGGTTCTGTTAGCGCAGGTTCCCGATTTGTCTGAATAATTTGCTGTGTGCATGAACCACTATAAACACTGTGGGGAAGGACTCTGATTTTCTGTGCAGAGGCTACGGTGTTCTTGTATGCTCATTATCAATATCCATCAGAATATCTTCTGATTTGTTAGTTTTTCTTTGTCTCAAAGCCTATATGTCTAGTTTCGACAAGGTACTGCCTCAGGAGTTTCATTTTATTTCAGGATTGTCATCATCATGCTTTGCGCAGTCACCCTTTCAACTCCCGTTGATATCGCGCCACGTTCGAAATGTTGGCACTTGTACATCGCAGCCCTTGGCTGACTGATAGTTCGTTTTTACCTTGTGTCCTGACAAAGGACACAGTAAACTATCGTTACCCTACCAGACTGAGGTGCTGATGACGCCACAAAAGATTAACAAAAATTTTTTTGGCCCGTGCTCTATCGGGTTGGTTGTTCATGCTACTTTCGGTTACTCCCTACATGCTATTCAGTGTTCGTTTTTACCCTGCAGGGACGTGGTCGCGGATGACGGCGTCATCCATCGAGCCATCATGGAATGGCAAAAACGGGGCTTCATAAACTATTTTGGACTGCAGAGATTTGGGCATTCGGCACATGCGCAAACTTTCGAGATTGGAAAGCAAGTTTCAGAACAATCATTTAAACCTAATGTATATGGTAAATCGTTGTCCGGTCTTGCAGGTTTTAGTATACTTCTGAGTCTTCGAAGATAACGTCAAACTCCATCCAAGGCTCTTAATTTTTTTATCTATGAAACCTGCATTTAGGATTCCTCCACCTCCTCTAAATGCAACCTTTCGTGCTTGCTCTTTGTAAGCAAACAAAACGCCCCTTTTTCGAACAACGTTAACATTTCGATGGAATTGTTAGTCGATATCGTCATAAAATCTCGGGACCTCCCGTCCACATTAAGTCTTGACATGCTTATATAATTAGGTTTTGTTGCATAAGCAGTCTAGACCAGAGGAAGCGTAATGAGCAACAAACAGCAATTAAGGGTAGTCATACCCCCAGTCAGTGTTAACTGAAACCCGCTTTCGTTTAGGAAGGATCACTCAAGTGGGGTTGTGATACTCATTACTGTGCGGCATAATCCTGGGGTATTTGATTCACGCCAGGATGTTGGCTTTTGAATGCGCTTCCTTTCAGTCGCCTGCGAAAGCCGCAATAAGTAGGAGATGACACCCGAGGTTGTGTGCGTTTTTTCTATTGATTTCCGATGCCCTTATAAATTCGAATGTAATTTATGGATGACATGCGCAGAGATATTCCTATACTCATTTGATAGGTAATCGCTTCTTCAAATTTTATATTGGAAGATGGGATATCTTTCGGTTTTTAGAAAGTTTTGATGTGATTTTTAAGACTGTGCGCTGCCTTTTCAAATAGTATGGTGTCTGCTTTTAATGCTTCTCATGAAGTATGCAACATAGGCACATCCATTACGAAATTTTAAGCTCTATATGATGCTTTATTAATGACATAGGGAAATTCATTATCTTTCTCACACGGAAAGTTTATTTTATTTAGATATCTTATCAAGTCAGATTGGGAGAAAGCCATCGACCTCATTTTGAAGCCGACCCCATTAGGTAGGTCGCATTGGCAAGTAATTCTGAGGTTTTCATGCTTTCGAATTACCCCTCCGTGTTACCAAATTAACGTGCCCTAAGAATTAACACAGCACAAGTAAAGAGTTATTGAGATTTTTCGAGGGCTGTGGCTATGTGGATACGAATTGCGACCCCGTGCGCATGTATTCTTCTCCTGACATTCTACTGTGTTATGCATTCTTACCTGTTCGATATTAAACGATTATTCGGCACCTTGTAATGGAGCCCACATTGTTCATATGTACTGTAATTAAGTCCAAGTCCCTTTCTTTCAAGTAAGCAGGCCAATTCGGTAAACGGACCCCAATCAACTCACCAAAGAAGCGTTGTAAGATACCGATAGTTAGCGTGCGCCAATAACAAATCTGCCTTTAAGTTGGCACGCTGGTTCCTGTTGAACCACTATTTTCTGGACTTACGCGTCTCTTGACGTCCTCCGGCATTTATACCGAGAGATGGATGCAAGCCTTTTAACGATACAGCGCAATGCCGGTATGTCTAATCTATGCTGTGTTTTTTTTGACAGATCTGCCTGCAGTGAGGCAGGTAAAGGAGAAATATCTGGAGACACAGGCCGCTAAAGCTTGCGGGGACAATATGCCGCAATGCCTTGAGAAGACGCTTCTGCTGGGCATTGCACGTTATGGAAAGACCCTGGCCGCCATCCAAACGGCAAGCATACCAAGCATTTTCATTAGTTTATTTTTCTTCTTTGAATTCAACTACTTTGATGACACCGCACTCCTGCCGGTGGTCACGCAGTACTTTTCGGTGACATTGAGCTGGCTGTCTGGTATCGTTTTAAAACTGACTCTTAGATAAGGATTCCGCAACCAACCCATGTTTTTGTTTCCAGCTTCCACGAAATATGCGCCAGCTGTACACTCATAGCTATCAAAGTCTGGTGTGGAACCGAGTCACCAGCCGGCGGATTAGCGAACTTGGGTTGAAGTCGGATGGCAAGGCCATCGCCGGGGACCTCTTCTTTCCGCCCCTGGAATCCACGCAAAAAGGTAGGAACATATTGGAAACCTCAAGTTCTCATGCCGTACTCATCCTTACATCTTCGGCGCAGTGTTCTGATTTGATTCTTATAAGTTAATTGGTATTTGGCTTGATGTGACTCTTGGCGGGTCGTCGTTTTTAATACATAGTCTCGGCCTGAGGATCAAAATAATGTGCAGATGCCTTCAAGAGGGGAATGGAGAAGCGCAGAATTCCTGCAAGGCTGGATATTTAATAACTCTATTTGATTCCTCCCGAACAACCTTCCCTTCCTCAATCGTTACGCATACGAGCATGTCAAAAGAGCTCAGATAGGCGCCGTAATCTTCGGATTCGTTAACAGTAGGCTCTTATCCTTGACTGTCACGAACACCAGTATTGACTCAATGACACCGAAGGTGATGAGTTTCTGCCTTCGATTTTACCGCTTTTGTTGCTTTTCGAGGAAAATTGAAAAACAACATCTGCCTCTTCATTTTGTCTTCGCGCGAACATCCGATGATGAAGTAAGGACCAGTCTGAACAGCAAGCCTGTCAACACCCATTTGCCGCATCCGGCGTCATGCGGGCGAGTTTGTGTTGAAACATTCGTTACGAACGTCAGAAATCACTGTAGTGGTCCGGAGAGTCTCTTTACTGAACTCGCTACGAAATGTATAGTGTTGTTGACTAAATGACAAAAAAACCAAAAGTGCTGCCTTTTTGTTATTTTTACAGGTGAGCGCAAAAGCTCGTGAAAAGCATAGTTTTCTCAAGGGTATCTTTTGTTTGTGGAGTTGCTTACTCGATAACGTCTATTTCTGTGTCAGCCGGGCTGCGTGATGCGGTGACAAGCTTCTCGAGCTGCCTTCCTCCAGAGCAGAAGTTCATTTTCCGATCCCCTAAATTCACTTTCTTCTACCGCTAAGGTCGAAAAAGTTCAGCCGCCAAGGCGTCTGTGCTGTACTCCCCTCGTTCCTTACCTTGATGGAGAATTACTGTGCCTCAAGGAACTGAGGTCCTGGCCGAGTTCAGTTTCACTTTCGAATGCCTTAACCACCGATGTCCTATGGTTGTGCAAACTTGTGCAACGTCCTGATTTTTGGTTAGACTTAGCAATTCATTTCGAAGGCGAACTTTTACACTTTAGGGCCATGGTTAATTTAAAGGCCGTTAAGTGACCCCAGTGATTTCGAGACAAGATATGCGAGTGACGATGAGAAATTGTATATCCAAGACTGTCATAAAACAAAGTTGTAAAAAGTATTGCGAATAAGAACAAATGAAACGTGGCTGCCTCTTTCCGACTTTATTCCTGTCATATGCCAGATGTGCTCGTTTATTCCATGTAGAGCCTCGAGGTCTTTTATATTGACTGGTCCACTCGCAGCTATTCACACCGTCAAATTTGCGTGCGTTACCGGTTTTAGGTTGGTTTATTCACTGACAGTGAACCAAACCCTTGACAGAGCAAATAAATCTGTGGCAACTTTTATCCGTTGCCACTTCAGAGCTCGTCTACGCTGTTAGAACATGTTCCGAAGCAAATTTTATGCCACACATGATGCTTGCGAAAGCTGCGTAGACATTGCAGCCCAATGTATTTCACTGCTGCACCTTTTCTTATGAACGCTGATAACTTCTGAAGAGATTGTCATTTACCCCTTCCCTTCCAGGAAAACTTTTACCTAACTATTATAAGAACTTTCTTGCACCTCGAAATAAATAGCTGATTCCTCAGGGCCTCAAACTGTGCCGACCGTCTTAGTTCTTCATTCCAAACTGCTACAATTTTCGGAACCAACACTCATGTGTAGGAACATCCAGGATTGTAAGGTGGCACGACACCCGTGCACCATCGCGTTTCTTGTTTCTGTAAATAGTTTGATCATGGACTCTTGATATTTGCGTCTTGTTTGCCCCCAACTAATGAATGCGTGGGCAATCTAAAGCTTCTGGATGAGTATTTCGGTGGGATAGGCAGTAGGTAGTTTGCGCATCACAATGTGCTGTAGTATTCATGCACTGGGGTCCGATTATGTTCTTTCATGTTCCATGCCACCAATATATGCGATTTTGATTATAATTACTGCGGCCCAATTCTTTAAGAGTCGATAATGCAATCGATTTATGTCTCTCTCCTGTTCCAGTGCCTTGGGAGCAATATCGTAAGTACGGTTAAGAACACGCATAAGCCACAGTAAAGCATTTGACAGACGGGTTTTGTGATTGTTGCCCTCTTTCCAGGTCTTCGGTCCGTCGACTCGGCTTCCGAGCTCGTTTATGAAGATGCTGTCAAGGAATCGTCTAGACCAGAAGAATTTAGACTGAAGAAACCTACGGTCGCTCCGTCCATACCGTCTGTGGTCAGTTCTTCGTCTGACGGTGATCTGCCTTCAATCTATCAGGTTGTCCTGCCTCTTCCGGGCTACGACGTTATTTATCCTCAGAATGAAGGTTCGTTAGCCTCTTTTGCGCCAAACGCCAACAAGCGTCTTGTTTTCACAGTATCTCCTATTTTTGTGTGTTTGTGTGTTTTCTCTCGCAGCTGGAAAGTGGTACTCAGAGATTCTGGAGGAAGATACGTTGAAGCTGGAGGACTTGCGACACAAAGTAAAGTGAGTTAACTTTCTAGGGGTGTACCACCTTTACCTACGGCCTTGACAGGTGTTCATTTACGCAGTCTAAGTGGTGTGTGTAGATGTGTACCCAGGTCTGTCGAAGATAAACAACTCTTGACCGATCACGCTGGCCACACCTAGGAACACCCCGCTCCTTCTGCGTTTGCGTGCAAGCCTGACTTCTGCTGCTCTGTACGCCCGCATGCGTGAAAATATTACTATCTTTGTGGGTTGGTTTTCACTGTGATGTTTCTTCTTCCCATATATTTAGGGATTTTGCATTGCCTGGATCCTACCGTCACCTGGTGGTGAAACCAGAGGACGTACATTACACCATTAGGGAGTACACAGATCCCCTGGCTCCGCTCATTGAGAGCGACTTGAAGAATTTATCCAGTACACCGCCGTCTCCCAATCACTCTACCCCTGTGGAATTGTCTGGCAAGTTTCAGATTGATTACTATCTTGAAAAAGGAATTTTCGGAACTGCACCCTAGGGTTTGCTCGTATGTTCCTAAGTGAATGATGTTAAATAGTGCGCCGCCGGTAAACAATCTTTAACATTTTGACAGTCATCCCCGGTACATTGTCGTGCAAACAGCGACACATGGATTTATTCGTGATATTGCTAATGATCTGTCTGAGTAATCACAGTACATGAAGGCTTTTTCGACCTCCCTAGGATATCGTTCAGACTTAAGTTCAAACTGTCGAACAAACACGCATTTTAGCCGAAACTTCTTACTCAGTCTCTGTCACAGATAATTAAAATGGACATCTGCAAAATCCAATGAGCGAACAAGTAGCGATGGCAAATACTTAACTTTCGGATGGAAACTGTAACCGCAGACCAAAGCAGGTAGAGATAGGGTGACAGGAGCGCTGGTGGGCCTAATTGTTTTATTAAGGTATCCTAAAATCCTAGTTGTACACGTTAGCAAGAAAAATCAGAGGCGGCCTATTGTGCATCCTATGTATACCCATTCGCGCTTTTATACTCAAGAGAAAGACAGAAGCCGTGGCGCCAGTGAAACGTTATAATCGGTTAACCACCGGTAACGCATGCCGAGAGTTGGCTGCGAAGACCGGTGTGCACGCGAGGGAAATCGGTGTCCTGTCATTTAAATTATGCCCAGAACTATCCCTGCGGCCGCAAACTTCAAAAAAGTCATCTGACACTGGAATATGCATAGAGCTCGAGCATTCATCTTTGATAGCAAGCGAATTCTGAAAGTTCGATAACTGTGCTTTAGTAGCAAAAATGTTTAACCGACCAAAGGCCACCTTAGCGACCCTTAAGATAGAAATGTATGTGCTCTGCAAAACCGAACTTATTGGGCCAAGTACTTGGATATCGGACAAGAACCAGATGCTATCCTCACGGGCGCCAAAAACGCCGGGTTCCTGATTTTGACGCTGTCGTCCCCGCTCTGCATTTTGGACATTTTCATATTTTTGCTCCGTACATTCCCTTACAGAAAGTTACTTTTGCTATTTATTCGTAATGCCACCACATTTAAGCCCCGAGTATCACATGGGATCCGTATTTGAATTTGCATTTATTTCCACCTTTCAAGGAGAATCTGTTGACCACGACAAGAAAGAGCAGGGTAAGCACGCTTCTATTTCCTTCTCGGTGTAGGCTTTTGAATTTCACTTTTTAAGTTATTGGGAGTTTCTGTCTCCGCAATTAATAAGGACACCTGCTGTCAGACTAAATAGTTAGTCGTTTTTGCGGCTTCCTAATGTTGGTTTCAAGTCACCTACTACAACGAGTTCCGGGGATCCTCTTTGACTTCGTTTTTAGTAATTTTCATCCGCATACCCGAGACGTCACTTTTCCTTGATTCGCATAGTTTAGTGGACGTTCAATTGTGAGACAGGATCTTTGCCTACCCTTCCGCTGTTGTTTACTTTCACCTGAAAACATTTACGACAAAAATCCGCCGAGCGGTCTGGCGGATCGTAATGCATCATCCAAACCCCTCTGTCATTGAGAACCTAGGCGAATTTATGGAAAACAAAAGACGTCTGCACATCATTCGTCATGTTATAAGCCCTAATAATTACGCCAATTCGGGAGATGTCCTAGAAATACTTACAGCGTCTAACAACGCGCCTATATAAATGCCTAAATTACTGCAATTTGGTCAGTACTTCAGTAAGAAAGAGATTAGCAAAATTGCAGGTGAGTCCTTCAATTGAACTCAAGACGTCAGGTTTACGAGCGACCTTTGTCCCAAATAACAAAAAAACGTCCCGTACGTAGTCCTTTAGTAGTGAGTTTGTGCAGTCCTAGCGTACGTTGATGGGTTTATGGAGATTAACGTGGATGGGGTGCCGATTGATCTGGTTATGGTACGGCACATTTTTTCCGTTGTGCCTTGAAGATCTGGTGTAGAGCCCTCGCCGACACTTGAAAAACGACAATAGTGCAGAAGGAACGCCGATAAGTTTCTAACTCACTAACCGTCGCCAGCCAGCCATACTCCAGGTCTAGGTAACTGCTGTGCAAACATATGCTCTTGCTACTAAGCCACGCATTCATTGTCCTATCCAATACGGCCGTCTAATAAACCAGAAATGAGCATTCCAGTCTCCTTTGCCATCCACGTTTTCACTTGTTGCACGACTGCTTGGAAGGGCACAACGGGGCGAACACTTCCTGTACCTAACCACATCATCGGACACCCCTTCTGCGTTACTTGATACTACTGAGCGGCAGGACAGTAAACTCGCGGCTGCCAACTAAGGATGTAGCTGAGGCTTCGCAGTCGACCCTATACGTGTTTGTGCGGAGTGACCGACCGCAAATCGGGCTCAATGGCACCTTAATGTGACCTCAATGACACTATCACGCATGTGAGATCGAAACAGACCACCTCCTTTGTGTGAAGACCTGGTATGTTGTGCGGTGGGCTAGGTCGTGTGCGGTACGCGCACACGACTATCTAACTCTGTCACATCTATCCACTCCTCGCTTCAGATGGCTGACCGGCTCAGACAGTAGACTGGCGCCTGGGTGAGGGAATTGAAAGTCGACTCTATGGACTCCGTCCCCATGGCACTGAGAGCATATTCCCCAGTCAGTGCGCCTGGTCCCACCTCCAGTCTTCTTGACCGGGCTCAGGTGGATGAGGGTGAATGCAGCAAAGGTCTCCTACTAATATAAACTAATTTTCGCGCGAGTCACTGTCCCTGCACCCACGTTGCTGTGGGAAATACGATTGACAGTCGGTCTTGGAAAAAGAAATAACAGTTCTTCTCCCGCCTTGTCGCTCACATCCACGCCAGACTATAAGCAGCACAAGGTCCTTTTCCTGGTGGTCCCTTTTTGTTGATAAACTTCTTTTTTTCTCTGTGATCAGCGAAGAAACGCGCCGTGGTACTCGAATTCACCCTTCCAAAGGCTGCTTACGCGACAATGGCTATACGAGAACTCATGAAGGATGTCACAGTGAAACAATAGAATCCTTCACGTCTCTGCTTTTGGCAATGTCTGCCCTCATCGCCTATTGTGTACTTTTACCTAAATTATACAGTTTTTCATTCCTGATCGGTGAGTCTCCATCCCCTCAGTGTCGAGCACTGTCTAAATCCATTTATAGATCAGTTTTAAAATTGCGCGAGAACGCAGTGAATGCCGCCCAACGGAATCCTGCTTGCATTATTTGCAAGAGAGTTGGGTATAGCGGAATGGCCTCCATACTGGCTGTTTTAGCGCTCACAAGCATTAGCTACCGAGATTCCCAAATAAACTTTTGGAATCACGTAAAAGTGTCCTATTTTCAGTGGGCGTTTGTAATACCGGGTTTTTTGAAGGGTCTGTCGGCTGGACATTCCCTAATCGGTGGGCTCGCGCCGGAAGCTATCGGATGGATATTGAGTGGGCGCACGAAATCCGTGCTAAGGGCAGATAATTCATTGAATGGTGTCTAGAGAGACGCACACGTATGCGTGGAGGAAAGCTGTCGCAGTGTTGTGAAGGTGTTCGCAGTCGCGCGTGGAAGCGTTGTCAGAAGTGTGCCTCGATAGCAAATCGTCCTCTGGCGGCAGCTAACTGCCACTGGAAGTCGTATGGCGGTCTTTGCCAACTAGGCTTTTGCGGTCGCCTATATTTACAACGCGGTCTGGTATTCTCCATTCGTTTCTTACGCGTCCTCTGTTTGACTATTCCCACACAATTCCGCTACTCTCAGGTCTCTGTTACATTGGAGTGCGGCTTCGCACTGGGTGAGTTTTATACGAAGTGACACACGACGTTTTAGTCCTCGTTTTGACCACCTACAATTGGTACCTCAGAAGGGTGCTGCTGTTGTTTCAGGGCTAAACCAGTGTCTACAGTATTTCGTTAAATAATCGCACGGACAGAATTGAGTTTGCACCAAATAAAAGACAGCGTTGTATCACACGCGAGCCAGCGGGTAACTTTCTGGCCCACTACTGTTTCCGCTTTCATTTTTAGTCATTTATCTGTTTCCAACTTGCGGTGGTCGTCATCGGGCACGGTGCTCAAAATGCTGAATACTCACGGTAGTGGTGATCGTATCCCGGCGAGTTGGTGGCCTTCCCATCCAGAGACTCCTTCGGTGTTCTCAGGTCCGCGTTGCCCCATGTGGCCGATTCTAACCAAAGCGCTGGCGTTGATCCGCTGTGACTTTCGTTGGTCAGCATCCGCAAGAAATTTCGTTCTCTACCCAGATTGTCCAGTGCAGTGGAAATCATTAACATGCACATTTTACAGCTTAAATGCTCTAGTTGTCATTACGACCTGTCTCGCAGAAAAACATGTCGGACCGGAAAATGCGTACGTGCCTTCTGATCATGAGAAACAGTGATTCTTATGCGGGCAAAGTTAATGGGTGAGCAATTTGAGGAGTTCGGAAGTGATGAGAACGAAGACGAACTGCCGTGAGTGTTGCAGCAACTGCATCAAGTCCCGCGAATTTTCCGATGAAAAAAGCAATGGACGTGAAGTCGCAGGACAATATGTCAGTTTTCTAACCTAACATTCCCGACTTAGTACATTGGACTAATTTGGTAACAAGCATTTGTAAATGAGGTAGGTGAGTCAAACGCCCTGAAGCACCATCGTGGAGCCGTGGAAGACTGACAAACCATGCGCAGATTCCTTACCAGTACTTGAGCTGGGGACATTGAGGCATTTAGGCCCATCAGATTGCAGTTGCATGAAACCACAAACATGCCTGGATGCCGACTGCGATTAGTAGTGAATGCGCACGGCGCATTCCTGGTTGTCAGCCGAAGTAACCATCGTGAGCAATGATGTTATACCCGTCGGGGTAGTCATTTTGGCCACAAGCATGAATGGCGCGAGGCGCGCGGCTGCTCGATGAGCCTTGACTGCCTGGCGCGGCCGCTAGCTATCGGCCGACACGCATGTCTTTGATCGGTCAAAGTGGTCGGAAGACAATATGGAAACGCCCGTTGGCAATGAATATTTTGAGTCGGGTGACCTCCACACGACTTTTGAGAGAGAATCCACCAACACCTTACGTGCGACTTAGATGATAAACTAGGCTTTATTCAGGCTGAAAATTACCAAATATGTGACCGAATTTTCAAAGCAGAGGTAACAAACAACTGATAAGAGTAGTGTACAAAGGAGACCCAAACGAGAGTCAGTGCTGAATTGGATAGGTCGCTTTATGAGTAGCAAATGTCACCGGTGCTTTGGGCTACCAGACCCGGCTTAGAGGATGGACAGCAGCGTAGGCATTTTCTTTAAACATTACAGCTGATATACGCTTGCTGAGGTTCACCTTCTGTTTGTAGTCCGCCAGCCTTTTCTCCATACGAGAAAATGCATCCAAGGCGAAGGCACTTGTGAGCTCGAGCTAAAAGATATGAGGGAGACATTTACACCAGGTAAGTTCTACGTAAAGGAAACAAAGCAGTCTACTGAACAACAGTAACAAACGGGCGAAGCAATACATCATTGGTTGACTTCATCTAGGACAACGATAACCAGCTCGAAGTGGTCGAGAAAAGTATGCAGTAGATGTTAACCGAAATTCTGAAATCTCTTCGATTACAAAGGATTACTTGGGCGAGGTCGCGCAACCTAATACTAAGATATCTCATTTGCGCATTTGAATGACCTTTCGGGCCGCCTGCAAAATCACTCAATGAGGACCGCTTGATTAGTATGATTTTTCCCTTATAAATTCGCATACGTTTTACAGGAGAACTCCACAAAGATATTCTTTCTTTTGTTCACTTGGCAGCAAATTGCGCCAAGTTTCCAAAAAATATCTCAATTCCCGAATAATTTTGAAGCCTATTCACAGTCGTGCCCACGTTTAGGTTTTCCGAACTACGTACCGTATGCTCTTCGTGTGAGGAAAACCATAGATTACGCTATTAAGACTTCGTACAGGGCTCCTAAAATTGTGTGATGTATGTTAACCATGCTCGGTACCATAAAAGCAGCATTAATAAACGGACAAATGCGATATACGAATGGGCATTAGACAGTCCTAGAATTGCTGAGGAGTTTAAGATTTGGAGAAGTGATTGGCCACAAAATGAGCAAAATAAATCATATTTTCGCATCTTTTTCCGCGAAACGAATTTGGAATTAGGGAAACACATAAAATTGGTGTGAAAAGTCATATTACTTATGCAGTTATTCTTTGCAGGCAGCCCAAAAGCTCATTCAAAAGTGGGCATTCTGGTGTAACTGAAATATCCTGAGATTATGCTACAACCCCATCCAGGTAACCATTTATTATCGAAAACACCCCAGAATTTTAGTTAACAGCTCATGAATGTAAAGACGAAGTGGCTGCTAAATTAAAGATTGGGAGATGCCGTAGCTCCTAAAAGCTGTAAAAGCACTGGTTGAGGAGGTAAGCGAGACTTGCTTTAGCATTCAAAGGTAAGGATCAAATGCCACAGTTAAAGAACAAGGGCCACAGAGCACAATCAATCCACCGAATTCCAGTAGATCGAAGTTCTGTGCTATTCTGTCCTTTAGTAACCAGCAGTGACTCAATCTGGTACTACTATGCCTCATTATGCCGGAGGCATAAAGGCACGACTAGCGCCAACAATGTCAGTTTAAGAACAAGACGACTCGGGCACCGGAACCGCGTGTTCATTGGTCTGAGCTTTCGAACTTGCGCAGGAGTCCATCGTCAGAATACTGCACAAAAATTGAGGCCTGGGCTTCGGAGGGAAATTCAGCTAATCAATGCATCGATCCGGTGCTCGCATGCAGTCCTACTTAACCCAAGGTGTGCAGGAATCCGAGATCCGAGCCTGCGTTCCCTGTTCATCAAGCGTTACTACATCTAACGCTCTGCTAGTGAGTCACGGGTCTTGTTGGAAGTGTGCTCACTAAACTTGCCTCGGAACATCCCTTTAGCAGATCGGACCATCAGTTGGCTGGTTCGGTTAGTTATTTGAAATACAGTAGATGTGCTCTCTCATGAAATATGTTTTCGGTTCGAAAAGATCACAGCCGGCTTTTGAATGGGCTTCTTCTTGGAGGTCTGCGAAAATCACACTGCGAAAGGTGACTATTTAAGCAGTAGGAATTTTTACCCTTGATTGTCGACACCCTTATGAATTCAATCATATTTAGCAGGAAATATGTGCAAAAATATTCTGTCTTGTACTCATTTGTTAGCAAATTACAGTCGGTGACCGATCTCATGAAATGTCAGTCGAAATTCTAAAATGCGTTTTCAATTAGAAAGGATTACTTAGGTTGGGTTATTACATGAATTATTACGCGGCACAAACCCACAATATTTCAGACTTGCAGAATGTTGGCTTTTAAGTGGGTCTCTTTTCGACCTCCTTAAAAAAACACAGCCGGTAAAAATTGCTACTTAAGTAGTGTGCCCTTTTAGCGTGAATTTGCGATGGCTTTATAAATGCAAGCATATTTTATAGAAAACATGAACAAAATAAGCTTTCTTTTACTCATCTGGTAGCAAGACACGCCGTCTTTGCATTTCGTACTCAAAGAAACGGCATATTTGGGTTTTGGAAAAGTTTTCCAACCCGAATATTTTTTAGTCAGGCCAGTCGTTGGATCGGGGTCTAGTGATTTCAGTCTACGAAATATATACGCTCCTCCATGCCTTTAAGATACCACGTGGAGTTCATAAAATTTTGCAATGGACGCGGAATACGTAGCTTCATGAGGAGCACTAGTAAACGGTCTTTAAAAAACTCATGATTTGAAGCTTTTTAAGACGGAAAGTTACTCGTTCTTCAAGCATAACACTTGAAGGCAACGTAATTTGCTGTCAAATGAGTAAAAAAATCATATTTTGTGCACGGTTCTGTAAAATGTGTTTGAATTTATAAGGGCATCGACAATCAATAGGAAAGGCCATACTACTTAAGTGGTCATTTTTACCGACTGCGGTCTTTGCAGGAGGTCGAAGTGAAGTGCATTCAAAAGCCAACATTCTGGCAAGTCCGAAATATCAT